TGTCGCCGAGGCAAATATTATTCTGAATCCCCCTCTGTGTAATATATAGTTTTGATTCTCAAGTAAAAATTTTCTGATAAGTTAAACCTTGTATCATATATTTTTCTTTTCATAACAATAAATACATTTCCTTTGTGATATTAAATTATTTTTATTGTGCAATGTCCCTGTCGCTTAATTCTATTTCAACCACATTACAAGCAAACACAAAGATTATACACCTGATAGTTTTGTTCTCCTTTATTTATTGATGGGCTAAATTTGAAATTTCAAAGGATCAATTACTCCTACTTAGATAATTTAACATGAAATTGAACAATTTGAGCAACTTTTATAAATATGTTTACGGAATGAAAGACATTTTCAATCGTAGAGATAAGAAAGAAATGTACGTTACCTATATTCTTCCATTAAGAATATATATTAAGTAGAAAATATGAGATGACTCTGAATAAGCAACCCCTTTTATCCTGTAAACTGGCAAAGACGTTTTGCTTAACACAATTAAAAATTATTTTTTACATGAAAAGTGATCATTTGAAATGTACGTGACTGAAATGTACGTTACCATGAAATTCGAATTAAGTGAATCTATCACGATTTTTCATGTATTCTCATACTTTCTGACACTCGAATGTGTACACAAAGGAAAGTTTCAAAGGTTGGAGGTCAGCTAAATCCCAAAATTAATGAAAAGAAACGTTTCTGCTGAGGGAAAAAAATATATTAAGGTCAATTATATGTAATATAATTTTGATACCTGGTATATATTTCTGAATACGAAACCTGTATGATGCATGTCTTATGATATACAAGTTCAAATAGTATCAATATATTGCGTGTCTAACGTACGCTTGTGGAAGAGAATTGATTTTTATATTTGAAATGTACGTTACGTATGGTAACGTACATTTTACGTATTTCTAACTGACATGTTTTTTTATTTGGTCAATGAATTGCGTTTACACGAGCGAAACAAAATAATCGTTACAATCCATTTGACAACTGGCCACATAAATCCATCTAAATGCACCCCCAATCCTCGTAAATGTTTTAGACTTACCACATGCTAGAAAATTTATTTCTAAGTGTATTAAATTCATCTTTGGCAACCTTTTTGCAGTTTGTTTACTTTTAATATGCGACTTTTCGTCAATATTAATATAATTGTTGTTGATAATTTAAAACAAGGTATGCATAGGGTTATAATTGGTAAAAAAAAAACAACAAACAAAACAAAACAAAACAAAACAAAAAAGAAAAAGAAACAAAAGAAATAAACCCAGAACACAAGACGGTCACGTACATTTCAAATACTGAAAGGCACACGATACTCAGTTTTGTTTGAATCATTGCATTTTGGGTTATATTTTTCCAGATCTGCTGAAAAGCACGTATGTTTGTGTTTTGAAAAACGATGTTGCAACATAATTAATGAAATTGTTAACAAGACTGTCCATGGATATATTCGGAATGGATTTATATTAAGTTTCAATGGCCAAACACGAGCATTTGTTAGATCATAGCAAAATAAGTCTGACTCTTATATTTTTTTTTGTCTGTACCCTTGCACACAGGTAGAATTAACTAGGCTACGACCGGTGTCAATTTCAGCGAAACAGCACAAAAGAAGGGTAATGAACTGAGGTGGAGGAGACTCCCCAATATTATGTGAAATGAACGTTACCGAAGTGACGTGACATTCATGTAGTTGATGACAAATAACCTCGTTTGTTACATTATGATTTCTTATATTACTGCCTTAAAACGCTTCATTGAAATGATTTTTATGTCAATAATTGCTTTTTTTTCAATATTTTCTTATTTCTAATTTACATATTATTACAAGCTTGAAATGTACGTTACCTACTCATATTCTGAGGCAATCGTGTCTTTAAGTGGTGATTGTGACATAAAACACAATGTGATTACATAGAGAATCTTTTTTGGAATAAACTGAAACAAAACGATGAGTTTTTAGATGAATTTTAAGCTTTTTATCAAACAGAAATATATCTTGAAATGTACGTTACATTTACGTAGTTTTCTAAATCGGCATGACTATATGTTAAAAAAGACAGTAACTACAAAATAGAATTTTACTACATGTACATGTTAGGTTCCAGTATCTATAGAAAATGACAAGATTCCAAACTGATCGCTCTAAAAATAAACAGAGAGAAGAATTTAAGCATATATTTAAAAAATGTTTTTATACATCAGGATTAAAAAGTAACCTTTGTTTTTTGAAAGGAAAAATCAAACGCACGTTCGTATGCCGAGAAAATATGTTGCTGACAGAGTTGGTAGGATGTGCTGGTGTTAAGATGAGATATTCCAATTGTGATTTTAATGACTACATTTTTTTTTACATATCTTTTTGGACATTGAAGAAAGTGTAACGTACATTTCAAGCTACATTTCTGAATAAAATCGCCCTCTACTTTATCGTCTTGTCATTATTCCATGTATTATAATTTGATGAAAAAAAAATCTGGAAACAAAATCTTCAGATACTTTCTCTCAAAGGTAATTGGTAGAAAAACTGTTATCTTGAACTTCATTTTGTAAAAAATCAGAGAGGCGTTTGTGCCCTTATATTGAGAATGGGTGAAAGAATTACGTGGAAATGAACTCAAATGTCCTTAAAATGAAAAGTTTGTTCGAAAATGTTTTTCAATCTATGGTAATATTATTATGAATGGCTTAAAGTTCACAAACTACACGTATAAACATTATTAACGAATTTATCGAAATCTCTTTCTTTCTCTGTCTCTTTCTCTCTCAAAAATCCCTTGCTATGAATTGATTTTTTTTTTTTAAATAAATACACAGATGCCAATATACAATACGGAATGTAGCCATTCACTGCAATTTAGGAATTGTTACTTATATATAAATTTCCTAATTATAAGGAAAATATGATAATTACCATCTAGAACATTTCACAACTTTGTCTTCTTAAATAAAAGTATTATCTAGATATATCGACGACGTTTTGTCAATGAACAATGGTAATTTCCATTATTATGTTGATACGATATATCCTGGTGAGCTTGAGATAAAAGATACCACTGAGTCCGGTATCTTCTGCTTCTTATTTGGATATTTTATTTTAAAAAGACATTAATGATAACCTAACAACAAAGCTCTATGATAAACATGATGACTTTAACATTTCATTCGTCAGCTGCCCTTACTTGTACAGTAATATATACCTTAATCACCTGCATACGAGGTTTCTATCTCTCAGTTGATTCGATACACAAGGGCATGCTCTACGTATGAACAATTTCTAAAACGAGTCAAATTATTGACAAACAAGTTGATGAATCAAGAATATCTGCAATCTTTTTAAAGTCATGATTTTTTAACTTCTATGGTCGATTTAATGACCTTGTCAGCAAATACAATTTATCTTTAAGTCAAATGCTGACTGATGTTTTTCATACATATTATTCATCCATTATTATTTATACATTGAACTGACGATATATTTTTCCGTTATTTCCCGATCTTGACATCTGGTCCCTAATTTGATGTTTTGGAGGTTCGTGTTTGCTCTGCCCCTATTATGTATTGCTTTAAGGTGAAAGAAAACAACCATCGTATCTCTTTACATATCATCTATTGTAAAGGTTTGTAATTAAAGTCACTACAACATGTATATTCTAAAATTAATTTTAGATTGTACTGCGCAGAATTAAAACGTTAAAAGTTCAATGAAAATCGTGCTTTGAATCAGAACCTTACAGATAATGGGTTATTCCCCAAACACTTAGTCATTTTTCAGAATATGATTAAATAAAAGGCAACATGTCCAATCTTTTCATTTAGCGTTTTATTATACTAGAATTAAGGAACATGTATCTCAATAAATCTTATTTGTTGTCCTTTCTTGTCTTTGGCGCAAAGGATGCCTTTGGCTATGGTAAGTTAATTGTCCTAGTACATATAGTTCTTGTATTTATAGAGGTTTTCTATTATGAAGTGATAATTATAATTTTTTATATCTTAAAAATATATTACAGTTCTTAAGAAAGGCCCCTGCCTGTATATTTTGAATGGAGAATTTAAAGAGGAAGAATTCAATAACGTCATTCAGATTTGTTGCTCAGGATCAGGGGTTCATGATAAAGACAAAGGATTTAAATTTGAATGCTGTGGAGGCAAGAGCTTTGATTAATTATCGACTGTACATGTATTTAAAAGAATCTTAAAAGCAGTCATAAATCGTTGTTTAAAACAACAAAACAAATAGACGGCTGGATTGGCCTATTTTTGTTTCAAATAATTCAAATAATAAATTTCTATATTATTAAGACATTGCATACCTTCAAAGTTGATCAAATTCTACCTTTCAGCAAATATCCTTATTAACTTATACAAATATTTTCACTTTAATGCCATTATAGTGAAACTTAAAACGGAAAAAAAACGATGCGGTGAAGTTTGTTTATTTTACCCAGTCAAACATACATGTAACTTGCTTTGTTTCATTTGCATTGAATATAACAGTTAACACAATCAATATAAGCACTGAATTCTTGATCTGAAAAGGTTTAAACTAATTGGAAATTGCAGTTTAATGCTAAAAAAAATCTATAAAACAGTAAACGAAAACTCATAAACTGAGTATAGATACGTCAAGTAATAAAATATGAAAATTCGATTGATTTTAAAAATGCCCTGATTATTTCCATTATGTTACATGTATTCAAAATAAATAAAATCAAAATGACAATTATATAAAGGTCACAAATCACCCTTCTATTAAACTTTTTTTTTCAGATCTAGATCGTATGTTTATTTTCTCATTTAAAAATAAATTTATCAAAAATGCTTTTTTACTGCTAAATTGCTGAATTAAATATTTTTGAATATACTTGTTCTTTCAACTATTTCAAGGCAAAAGAAACATTCACAAAAGTCGGTCGATTTAGACAAAAAGTGTTATATCGTTAAACGTTCGAGATTTTCATTCTAGATCTACAGACTGTACATGTACAAGCGAGTTTTACGGTTTATTATTTTTCTTATGTTTATACAAGCAGAAACGACCTTCAAACCAGACACAGAAATTTGCTGCGGTGAACAAGTCTATGATAGAGCTGATGTTAAAAGAATTTGCTGTGGAGATGATTCTGAATCAAAACAGGGTGAGATAAACCATATTTGATAAATATATATATATATAAATATGCATTACCTTTTCCGAATTAGAATGAAAATGAAATTACACGATGCGGTACTAAGATAAATTTTTATTTTTGTATATATGTTTTCTCATGCACAGGTACATGTACATGTATGCATAAACCATAAAGTTTATTTTATATTATTTTTCATAAAATGCTTCATTAGATTAATAAATCTTTTTTATTACCTACTCTTACATGAAAATGACAGAACTACAAGTTCCAGTCAAAATATCTAACATTTCACAGTAATATATTTGTAACAATTAATAACGTAGCGTGTGGATATATGATACGCATACGATAATTTTCCTTTGTATCAAAACGTTGTGCCAACATTCTTCAGGAATATAAGCTTTAACAGCTTCTTGCGTTCTATTGTTATAAGCCATTGGCTTCGGGAAATATAAAAAAATGAGCTGTTCCATGCACCTTTGGAAATATATAATATGTACTCCGATCTGCTGCATTATGTAACTGTACGCTAGAGTTTTCAACACTTAATATTAAATAAAACGTTGCAATATATGACATTTTTCTAGGTGTTATTCACTCCGTCTCAAACATGCAAAAGCCCGAATGTTGTGGAAATCAAGTTTACTCATCACTGGAGAAAAGTTGCCTCGATGGTGTTCTTCTAGATAGGAAATTAAAACGGTAAACAATTAAGTCACGATTTTTACACATGAATGTATTTCGGGGCATTTTGGAGAAATATCAATAGTGATATGGGGCATGAAGAAAATTAACTTACTAATAAGAACTTATAACGGAATGTTTTACGTAGATATAAAAAAATTACCCTCTTTGATCATTTTGATATCAGCAAAATCACGAAATGTCAAAAATTCCATTATTCCTTCATCACGTACATATTATATGATATTCAGTAGATAAAGGAATACATAGAGTTTCATTTATTAGTGATATAGATACTGTAAATTTATCGATGTATTTTTTTTTAAGAATTCCTCAGGACCTTAAATTTATGAAGACAATGGAAGAGACTGGAAAAAGCCTTCTCCAAGAACTTAAGAGGTACATCAATCTATCAACTGCCGAAGCACATCTGAGAAATAAAAACACTAAGGACTAGGTCTGTGAAGTACAGAAGCTTAGCGTATTGTGAGAGTTCCTACAATCTGTGAATCGATACATATGATTCTGTTGTATAATTATATTTTCAAATTTGTCAAAAGTGTCCTTTGCTTTATTTGTTATGATTTTCTTGTAATCATATTGAAGAATTTAAAGAATACCTTTCCAGTTTAAGGTATTATTTATACTTAATAAGATAGAGATTTGTGTTTTTTTTTTCTCTGAGAAATGAGACAGAATATGCCCATAGGCACGGTTCTTCATTAAGTTAAAATTACATTTTATATTCCTTAACTCTATCTTTAAAAAATCCTTAAAAAGATATATTGCGCGATTGAGTTTATGTTCCGCCAAGCTCAACTATAAAGAGAAACTTTAAGAGTATTGACAAAAATTTAAACGAGTGTAGATCAGTCATGGATACTAAACACTCCAAAGAGCTTATAAAAAGTGGAAATCGTTGCAGTTTTCATATTTGATAGGATAAACAATATTAGACTTTTCAATACTTCATACAGCCACTCCCCACGGGAAATTTAAGTTCAGCCTTTTTGAATTCATAGACAGCAACTTTGTCAAAATAATGGATTTTTTTTTAAATGTACTTATTCAGTCACTCATTAATTCAAGCTAAGCTTAAAATCATACCTTATATTTACTTTTCACGTACTGAAAAGCACAACAAATTCTCAATATTTAACTGGTCGTATATTTAATGCTGCCGCATATCGTATATTTTTATAGATCTATCTGTAGCCTCATTTTGACGTCACTTCAGCGAGAGTTTAAACGAAAATGGGATTCAGATCAATTTAACAGTTAGACTCGTATAACAACATAGTAAATCTAAAGATTTATACATAAAACATTTATCTGAATCCATTTGAAACTATGGACGTTAAAATACTAAAAATTCATAAAAAGAAATGGTAAACATGATGGAGGACAGACATTTTACCATGTTGTATATAACAAATCAATATTAGAATGTCTTTTCATTTTCTCTTGTACTTCATTTACAGAATGTAACATTTTTTATTTGAAATTACATGTATTGTTATAATTGCTTTTTAATATTTTAGCACTTTGTTGCAATTACTATGTGCAATTGTGTTTTTATTTTTTTTCAACTGACTTTTTGCATATTGCTTTTCATCTATTATTATAAGATTATATAACAGAGTTTGATACTTTTTTTGATTTTTTTCCAAAACAACTATTAAGGTTGTTATTACATTGTAATTATAAGGAACTTTCGTTATAAGAAAATGTTTTATTAACGATGAAATGTTGTCAATAAATAAATGAATACATAACCTGATGCTTCCTTTTCGATGTATATCTGTAGGTTAAATTTTGCACTCAAGTTCTTTGAGCTATCAAAAGAAAAAAATTGCTGTCCTTTTACAAAAGGTCTGGAATCCATAGACCATAGCACCGTGTTTCTACCAGAAAACTAAAATAAATTCTGTGTTTTAAAGGGACCGGGGGGTTGCTGTTGTCATATTTAGACTATATTGATCTCCTTTAGAAGAAGAGCTCCCTATGAAGATATAGAAAAATGATCAAATTAAATTTTAAAACTAAAATTTTTGACATTTTTCTTTGCCAAATGATTTTTGACAGCTTAAGATATCATATCACATAGAAATGCAGGGTAAACTTTTTTGAGGTGAAAAAAATTTTTGTCTTGTAATTTTTTTGAAAATCGAAAACTCTCATTATCTTTAATTTCTCTCCCGCGCATCTGTCAGAGCCTTATTTTTCCTTTGCATGGAATTCATCAGAGTGTTTATCTTTCAAACTCTGGCTATATTGGGAATTGGTAACCACACCAAAAAGTTAGTCATACGACGCACGCATGCGCCAGTGTGAGGTACAAAACTGTAAGTTGACCGGCTCAAAAAACCAAATTGCGGAATTGTTTTCTTTCACTTTCTGTGTGAATGTAATGATTATCATAGTCTACTGTATAAATGGCGTTTTTTGTGGTAGTAAGGTGGCGATTTAAGAGATTGCAGAACGAATAAACCGCCGTTAACATGATTCTGTTTCGCGTTAACGTCATCGTCACGGTTGATTGAAAAACATTCCAGGCCTTCTCTGACATCGGTTAACAAGTTTTATGGGGTAAAATTTGCAAGAAACTGTTTAGTTATCCGTTGTTGTCATTTGCATTAAATAGGCAATTCGAAAACCAGACCCCAAGGAAATTCCGTAAACTATACCAAGATTGCAAGAAATTCATATCGTCTCTAAATATTGAAAAACGATGTTTACACCTCAGGTGCATCAAATGGTGAAATAATATTTGTTGGAAAACTCGCCATCATCAAATTGCACGTGTTTTGGACTTTTTAGCGTTTTCCCTATGTGACGTCACATAGTGTACGGTTGAATAATTCTGAACGCTGATTTTGGTGCATAGTAAATAAATTTCTCATCTGACCAATTTTTGTAATTATCGGCCATGCGGTCAAAAATTTTTCGAAAATTGTGCTACCCTGCGTTTCTTTTTCCTTTCAGTATATTACGTTTGTATATAATTTAATATAACGTATATAACTTTAGGGCATATTTTCCGTAATCTGCCCGTACATCTCGTTGTCTGCAAAACATTGTTTTTGCGATTGGTTATGACGTTTTTAGAGATTAGATGTAGGGCTTAAATCTCTCATATATTTATTTCTTCAAACAAGACCGTTCTTTAAATACTAACATTCTCCACATACATGTATGAGCATTTTCTTCATGAGTTAGTTGCAAGTTATTGACAAACAAGGTGATGAAACAAGCAAAAATGTAAATCAACAGTTTCGTTTTGGGTTCATCATTTTGAAAGTTCTATGGTCAATATAATGACCTTGTCAGCAAAATCAATATATCATTTTATCATATGCTGACTATCATTTCCATACTAATTGTTAGGCCATAATCTATACACTGCATTGTCTGCTAATTTTCCGCTTTTCCCAATGACTAGGACAACATGTTTGGTGTAACCCGTCGGTAGGTAATGCCTATTCTTTGACGACAGTTGATCCCAACTTTGATGTTTAAGGAGGTCCATGTTTGCTCTGTTATTGTTTAAGTGATCTCTTAGCTTAAATACTGTAAATTATCTCCCTATTTCACGCATATGGTGCATCCGGATAAGAGAGTTCAGCAATGATTATTCACATTCCTCTCTTCACTTTTACGTCCAGACATTTCGTTTTATTCCAGCCTTAGTTAAAAAAAAACATGACTTGCATTTTTTTGTCAAATTGAACGGTAAATTTGAGAAGAAATGGACACACCTTTACTAAATACCGGTAATGGAGGTAACCAAATCTTGAGGAAGCAATGCTCCACTTGTACCTTTAAAAATTCGTAAAAATCGCATAAAAACATATTTATTTTTAACAAAACGACTCTGTCGGCAACGAATTTTAAAGCGTTTTAATTTTATTGCATGCATTTACTCATTCAATAATACGATCTGTAATCGAATAACAATAAAGCTTTTTAAAAAATAAAATTCGAATCGCTGTTATACTTGGGAACACGTTTAAATTACACAAAATTGAATGATTTATAAGGATATTTTCCTCACACTCCAAAGAAAACTAAATTTTCTAGATCAAAAATAAATAATGCCAACAAAATGGGAAAGTTTTAGAATTGTCTTTAAATATGAAAACGTAAGCAAGATAAAATTTAGTAAACTGGATGACCCATTTCTTATAGATTGAGAAGCTAAGTAACCTTTGTGCTCGAGCTCACTCAATTTTTTATTTCCTGTTTTGATCACTGAGTCACATTTTACGGAAGGAACTAAGAGACTTAAGGTTAAAGACAACTTTGAAAATTTGCGATTTTTTCTTATAGATATAAAGATTGATTTTTTGTATCTTTTAAATAAGAATGTTTTCATTAGGAAGATCTCACTTATTGTTTGCAGACTGACCTTAACCTATAGATTTACCGTATTGAAATGAAGCTAGGTGGAACCTTGTAAATTGCTGGCAACTGACATCATACTTCGGCTTAAATGCTCTATACTTTTCTCAATGATTCACCTCATGGACTGTGTTCAGAATTCCCTTTTTCATGTTATTTCATTTTGCACCTTTTGAACCTCCAATAAGTTTACTCTTACAAGTAATATTTATTCAGCAATTTTCTTAAACTTCATTCTTATTTTTTAGCTCTCCATTACAAATGGGTCTTTGATTTCAAGTTTTCATCAAGATATCTATCTTTTTATGTATCGAATGATAGTGTTCAACGAACAAAGAGAAAATTCTTACATTGCACGTTGATCCAAACGATTTTTTTCCGCAGTAACTTAAGACGTACAATACATTGCTTGTTAAAGAAACGTTCTCGCAAGAACAAATGTTCGACAAAAAGATACATATATATATAAACTCGCCCTGATTTGATATATTGCAAACGCTTTGGTAGTGCGACATAATATGACGTAAAAATACGTCAGGGTTTAAACGCACTACATGTCACGGGCGGTTTAACGAGCCCAATCTAAACTGAAAATGAATTTCAGGTATCTGCACTCGCCCTAACGGTCTCACTGTACGTGTCATTATATTACACTATACACTCCAATATAAACGTATTAAAATAATATTTTCACAGAATATTCCAATGAATTTATCTCATATGTGTGAGTGATACTACAGTGAGATAAACCTATGCTTTATCCACGGGTAGGTGCTTTATCAATAGGACTTCCGGTACGATCCCTCCGCGTCGCTTCTCGCTTCGAGATTAAACATTGATCATACCATGATATCTTACCTTATTAAAAATTTTCAAATTTCATCTGATACATGCTTTCAAACATGCCTCGCAATAATGCATGTGTACCTTACCAGGGACCTCCGATGTACAAGTGAAGTGGGGGGGGGGGGCTAGCATCGATTGCACTTCAAACGTTCCAAGAATGACCTCAGAGTAAAAATTCATGATCCCTCGGTCCTTAGAACTTCTAGGTCGTGAATTCGTATCTCGGCCGCGACTGACCTAAGTCGATAAAAAATGGGTAGCAACTGTTCCCTCGCCATGCGCTCGGCACAATGAAGTGAAAGTTGCGGGTCCTTCGGCTGAGACCTTATAAACGGAGGCCCCGTGTCAGCGGCAGGCGTTGGCACGATAAAGATCCCTCACTGCTCAATGGCCCTGAGTGCCGAGTAAAGGTCAAAATTTGAAGCCCTTCACCGGCATACGGTGACGTCTTCATATGAGAGAAAAATTCTCGAGAGGAACGTTAAACAATATACAATCAATCAATCTTAACCGTTAATATGTTTTTTTCTGACAAGTAAGACACAGCAAATTTCCTTATTTAGCTCTCCATTGCAAACGTTTATCAACAGATGTACCTGATGATAAGAGTGTAACTATGTCAATGCCAAGTCTTTACTTTTAAATCGATTATTTTTGTGTGTCCAGTGTCAAATCTCAAATTAAGTTTTCATAAAGCGTCTCTTTGGTCTTTTTTCCCTATTTTTCAATAATTATTATTTGAGTGTTTGCTTTTGTTTAATATGCCAGTTACATAGGATGCTGAAAAACAATATTCAAATGAATTTTCATTTATTGATTCCTTGTTGTTTCATGTCCCTTGAGAAAATTTTACTCTCATATGAGTGGTCAACATATTTAGGCAATCAGCACTTTAATAATTTAACAATTAAGGTTTTTGGTCGCCAGTACAATTTGTTAATCGCCAGACATTTTTGTCTCAGGATTAATGATATACGTACATGTATATGGAGATGACGAACAGTATTCCAGCTCAAAATTCCATAAAACAATACATGATAGAAGTAGATCTAACACGGACTTCCTAAATATGCCATGGATAAGTGAGTATTCCCTCCCGCTGGTCACACCCGCCATATGCCCCTTGTCGTAATCAGGAAATAACGGAAAAATACATCGTCTATTCAGTGTGTATATAATGGACTAATAATAAGTATGAAAATAGTCAGACAGCATTTGACTCAATGATAAATTGTATTTGATGACAAGGTCATTTCATCGACCACAGAGCCTACGAAATGATGACTTTAAAGATGGCTCTTTTTATTCTTGTTTCATTAACTTGTTTGTCAATAATTTACCTCATTGTCTGCACGAATTAGCTAGTATATTCAAATCGGTTTTTCATCATGTAATTTTTTTTAAATCTTACATGCATTATCTTTCACAAGTGAACATGCGTAGAGTATAATTTTGCAAAGCAAATCAACTGAAAGATATAAAAAAAAGTGTGCAGGTGATGAAGGTATATTGCTGCATAAGTAAGGAATGTTGTTGATTGAAAGCTTAGTCATTACGGCTAAAAGCTTATATTGTTATACAAACCGGACCTTCTGGATTAGTCACATGAAGGGATAGGCTTTACTGGAATCTAAAAGAAAAGAAAAACCAGTTCAATACTTAATAGGTAAGATTAAGCATACACGTATACCTAAATCCTGACAAGCCACTGTCTGGAGACAGTATTAAGTTCTTTTCTACTGGATACAATTATGGTAGAGGATTGTATATTTTCACAGAGGTGTGTGATGATGGCCAAAACGTTAAACACTGTATATAATTGATCATTTCGTTAAAAAAAAAATGAATATTGGTATCTTGAAATGTTTAAAAAGCTATAATTACACCAACGAATTCTAACACGATTAAAATTGAATATCTCTATTGAGTGAGGATTATTTAAAACACAAACCTTTTTCAGAAATCGGCATTATTTCTCATAGAATTACATTTAAATTGGTAACCTGAAAAATGTTTGCCAAGTAGTAAGGGAGAATTATATGATTTTGTCATAAGGTAAAAAAATTGTGCAAAATTATGTATGGAATTATATAGAAGGCAAAACAAAATCTCATATCTAAGAACCAAGGAAAACCTACGATTTCTTTATAATTCAGGGATTTATTATTTATGTCATTTCAAATCAAAATCAGTCAAAAAAATGTATCAACCCATGCATCCATTTTTTTGTTTGTGGTCAGTACCCTTAATTGATAAACAATTGACTAAAATACCATGTCCAATTATTTTTTTAAAAAAGCACAATTGTCAATCTTTTCCAAAGCCAATATTATTTGGACCACCTGTTATCGGATCTTTCTGAGCTCTGTGTTTACTGATGCCATGCAAAATTTTGATCGCACGTGCCTGACAAGAAAAACCCAAACAAACAAGGTGACAAGCAAAGCACAAGACATCTTCCGTTCTACTAGCTAGAAAATCAATATGTTGCAAATGTTTCATTGTAGTTCTGCAACTTGACAATCGAAAAGAAAGTGGACAATTTTGACACTTAAAGAGAAAATTTGGGCACAAACCTGAAATTTTAGGCGCCATGATGACTAAAAAGTAGCCAGTCAGAGCCTATAGATGATGTCGATTAGATCAGAGAACTGAAGTCAACTGCCTAATCTTAAACAAAAACAAAAAACTAAGACTTGGACCCATATATGCATTTAGGACACTTTCATAATTTGTTGTGATCTGAGTATGTGTTTTTTTCCCTTAATAAATAAAAAAGAAATTGTAAATGGAAGATTCAAGATATTTCTAACATACAATGTTTGCACTTGGACACTAAACAGATGTTTCATTTAATCCAAATATTTAATTTTAAGTACGAAAAAAATAAGAGGTCAATATATCCGGTCTATTATTGTATGACTAATTTACCATGCGACAATCTTTACTTGGTATTTTCCCCCCATTTATCTATACATATATATGCATTTGTCAATGATGGTCATGCATGTAGAGCATTTAAAAGTTTTTTGACCTCATTCCTCTCTTAGGATTTAAATATTATAATAAAGAATATAACTGTTTTCTTGATCTGGGTATGGTTTTTAATAATGAATGGTCCCTTTGTCACTTTTAAAACCAATTTTATATGATTTCGTTAGTTTAAAATAACACGTCTTTTTTTTCTAAAAAGGCATCTTGCTTAAAGTTAAGTCTGGAAGATAAATTTGGCAGAAGGGAAATTCCCGAAACAAGACAAACTATTGATAGCAATGAACAAAGGTTTTTCCAAGGAAATTAATTTCCGGATATATTTTTATTTATGAGTTTTTTACCCTTGCATTCACGTCATCGCAAAATGTAACCAAAATGATCAGAAAGACAAAATGTGCACCATTCTTACATAGTCAAAAGAAGAAACATGGACTGCAAAAATTATTTGCGTTTTCTTTGTCTCGTTGTCGTGGTTCATTATTCTATGGGCCGTGGTAAGTTATCTGTTTTTGCCTTGATTTTAATAGTTTTATCATATATTTTTTTTACAATTAAACATTTATTCTGTTTCAGTGCTAAGCAATGGAGATTGCATATACTCTGTGAATGAAACATCAACAGATGATGCGCCTTTTAATAAATCAACTCAGATTTGTTGTACAAAATCAGGAGTTCACGATAAATATTATAAAGGACACGAAGTGGGATGTTGTGGGGGTAAGTATTATCATATATGTTTAATTCACCTTTGAAAAAATAAATGACTAAATGGCCTGTAATTTTCATTATGAAATGGGCAAATGCAATTTTGTATTTATTTGAATTTAAAATCGAGCATTTGTGGCTTTGTAGCATGTCTGCTATATAGCTTCTTTCTTGCAAAATGCTGCAAAGATTCATCATTTTCTTTAAATTTTTCAAAGCTATTATCTAAGTACAATAAATAGCTGAAGGGAGTTTTCAACCAGTTTAACCTTGCTTTGCCTATCATGATATTGTATCATCAAATCTGCTTTGCAATTAACATGTAGTCGAGGTGTTAGTTCAGAAAAAAACTAGTTCTATATATATTTTTTGTAATGTTACGTCTTTGGAATTTTTATAATTTTGCTGTCTGAATGGCATAAATTTTAAGTTAAGAAAGTGAAATTAAAATCATTGAAAACATCAGAGAATAAGTGAATAAAATGATAATTTAAGTGTGATCCAGATATTTAATATAAACTTGTTATCATGACTGCGTTTTACATAGATACAACATACATACCAGAGATAGATCTCTGCTGTGATGGAAAAGTTTACAACAGACCTGGCACTGAACGGATAGGCAATGGAAATTATTCTCGTTATACGAACAGTAAGTAGTTTAACGTGATGTGCCCATTTTTTGTCAATTTATTATAGCTTTTCTTGAAAAATATTAGTGATGTTTATAAATTCTCATAGAAATCACAATTCATCAGATTTTTTTAAGGTTATATCTAAATCAAAGAAATTTTGCTTTTGTATATTAATGTTTTACACACATTAAGCATAGTTAAATACTGTGCGTTGCTTGTTATTTGAAAATGAACAAGAATAATTCATTTTACATCATCTTGTCGTACATGGATTTTGTTTAACATTCAATTATACCGTAAATCAGGAAATTTTTGCTGTAGATAAATTATTAGCAAATTTGCGAGTTCATTGCATTAGCAAAAATATTTTTATTAAAAATAAATTACCATGACGAAAATGTAAACAAAGCAGTGGTCATTCGCAAAATTTTGAAACGTAAAAATTAATCGACAGCATTTCGACCTGAATTCGCAAAATAAATTCGACGTAAAAATTTCCAGATTTACGGTATGGAAAATCTTCAATTTTTGCAGTCTTTTTTAATTGCCAATTATATGATCAAAATTAATTGGAATAAAAAAATTGAGAAATAGCTTGACCAAATAGACATCGTGCCCCTTAACTGAGAATTTTATATGAGTACTGAATTTACAAACTAGCAAATAAAGCAATTTATAGTATGTTAAAATTTTTGTACATGTATTTCTGTAGTTTTCGAAAGTGTTCTATCCTAATGGTATTTACACAACCATTTATTTGAAATCATGGGGTATAAAGACCCTATTCCCCTTTTTTTCCTAACTGTGATCCGTTCTCATTTAGTCCATCTGGCATGTTTCGTCATTTAAATAAAAGACAAATTTTTAAACTTAACTTGTCTTCTGTTATGAATTTTGGAAACAAACAGAGTTGCTATGTTGCCGTGGACTGCCAGTAAGGTTTTAACATTAAGGTTAGTCACTCGTCAGCTTTTTAGAAAAGTTCACGCAGAACTCTTACTTCAAAACTACCGGGTTAAAATTAAAATTCAATTTTTATAATATATTTAGATTCAACAATGTAAATTTTTTAATATTCAATAAAAAAACTGCTCAAAAATCTACAAAGAAGCAAGATTTATGAGGGACTATTTCTTTTGGTGGAAGGATATTTAGCAGAAAATTCTGCAAATCTGCACATTTATAAAATTTGATGTAATGGAAATTTAGCCTCACATACTTTTACTCGGAGAATATTTTCCGTTTTGATATTGCTAAAAATATTTAATATAGGTCTTAATTTATATTTTTAGACTAAGTTTTACACCTTCCCTCAACAAACTTTTCCAAAAAATGAAAAGATATCAAAGAAGTCAAGGTCAAATTTACACCACTTTTTGACTGAAAATCACATATTTTGACAAATAATTCAAAATTAACATCACTGACCCCACCTTTTTCTTTCATTATTTTAAACTACTCGATACTTGTGACTGATAAGCACTCAAGTCGTAAAAAGTTTGATATAAGAAAATTTTTTATTGCCTATCAAGTTTTTTAATACCCCAAATATGCTATTTTTTAGTGCAAAAAGGTCATACAATAATTTACGCGCATTAATTTGCAAGATTTGTTTAATGATATATATTATTCAAACTATTTTACGTAAAATAAGATTATATTTATTGCCATGCTTACATCTAATCAAATATAATAAGGGTTAAAATAATTAGCCAAAGAGATGAAATTTAAGTGCAAAAAGGTCAACTTAAATGTACCGTAGATCAGTAGGATACACACTGACCCCGTATTTTCTTTGCGATTTTGAGTTACACTTTATGAGTACTTATCCAAAATATACTTCTCAAAAAATCCTTGATATACCAAATTTCAGGAGTGACTTACCTTAAAACATTTCCTTGACGTATTTATTTCACCAAAACATCATCACTAACAATAAAAATATTTAAGTCGTTACCTTCAATTCAGACGTTTTCTAACAAAAATGAAATATAATTAACTATATTAGTAACTTATCAACTTTGTACATGTAGCTTTACACTGATTTTAAAATCTCTTGATTCGTTAACACTGATGG